CGTGCAAAACCTAAACAACTTCTTAATGGGTAGTGTCTTGATTAAATATATCACACCTGATTAAGTACCATTTGAAAACCATTATGTGTTAACTTTATTCCTTCCCTTGAATGTAATATAGTTTGCCCTCTTCTCTTTAGTTGTAACTTCAGTTAGAACTACCGTTCGGAATTTGCATTTAATTAAATTATGGTTCTTACCAAAAATAAAATCCATACCTATCATATCAGCTATTATAATTATTATTATTACTGTATATTAGTTTTCCCTTATTGATCCTGAACAATTCAAAGAAGTAAACAGTATGGGAAAACCAACAGTAACGTCACAAGACCAAACCTTAAATTTCACAAAAAATAACAGGTCTCATCATGACGCAATATTAAAATCCCACACAGGTACTGGAAAAACTACCTCATAAAAGAGTCAAGAACTGCTATACAGGCTTATTTATTATTATTATTATTATTATTATTATTATTATTATTATTATTATTATTATATTATTATACATTATTATTATATTATTATTATTATATTTATTGGAGAGAGATAAACCCATAGGCATCAAACAGTGCCTGTGGAATGAGAATCAGATTTAATCCAAGGAAAGGTAGGGTAGCTCCAATTCCTAGAGTTAAAAAGCCATTCTTATTTTTTTAACAAACCGGCCATCTCCCACTAAGGTACAGTAACCCAGAAAAGAAACACTTTTACTACCATTCACTATCACTGTCTTGCCAAAGGGGGGCCAATACTACAGATCAAAACTACAAAAATCCCCACCCCTCCTTCAGAGAGTAGGCACAGTACTTCCTATCTCCATGATTCAAGTCTGGTTAACCAGTTTCCTTGAATCCCTTCATATATGTTACCTTGCTCACACCCCAATAGCACATCAAGTCATAAAAATTACCTGCCTCCACTCACTCCTATCTAACACACTCACACGCTTGTTGGATGCCTAAGCCTCTCACACACAAAACCTCCTTTACCCCCCTCCCTCCAACTTTTCCTAGGATGACCCCTACTCCATCTTCCTTCAACTAAAGATTTATGTGCTCTGCAAGTCATCCTATTGTGCTCCTTCCATCCATCAGCATCAAAGAAATTCCCTCAAAGAACATACAGGCTCAGACAATCACATAAGTAAAAGCCTGACAAAATCAGCCATTACAATATTTTTAAGCTGGAAAAATTATAGCACTGATGAGTCCCATTGCATACAATAAAAAAATCATTTGAAATCAAATTAAATAAATTCATCACTGATGTTATTATTTACCATTCTCAATAACTATTCAAATAACTGTATCCAATCTCCCATATAATAAGTACTTTTAGTGATGTATTACTCCATAAATTTTGTTGAAATAACTAGAACTATGCCCGTAGTAGTCATTAATATTTCAAAAGCGATAAATTAATTTTAATTATACAGAATATTTATTCTAAATATAGAAGACTCTCACATTTCATGCACCCACAAATTGTGTTCTCAATAAATCACAATTAAAGTTTTTTTTACCCAAGTTCATGTTTTGTGGGAAAATAAGAGTGAGGTCACATCATGAAGTTGGGAGAAAATAAGCATATGTTTTTGCACAAAATCTGGCTAGATCACTTTGTGGGATATTATTCCTCCACACCTAGGGCAAATCCATTGTTTTAGAGGGAGGCCTAGCCTGACACCTTGTTGTAAACAGCCACTCTCACACTCATACCTTACTCTCGTGGTTACCAATTTTCTTTCATTTCGTCACCCATTTTGTCTGTGGATATTAACAATGGCACCTAATAAGGATACTAGTGATGCTGGAGGTGCAAAGAAAAAGTATGAATATGAAACAATGCCCATTTTGAAACAAATAGTGGTGACATATATGCTTAAAGCTAGCACATATGTCACAGAGATGACCTGTACCTTCAGCGTCAGAGAATCTACACTATGTAGAAACAATAAAATGAAGGAAAGAGCTTGTGCATAAATAATCCAGATTGTGACATACTGAGAAGAATGTCAAGAGGTCATTACAGCTAAATAACACAGAAAGGTTACTGAATGTTTGGACCGAGCGGAAAAAAATAAGGTACACACTTAATGCCTTATGATAAGGTAGAAAGTCCTATTATATAATAAAACTGTGTAAACAAAACAGAAAATCTTCACAAGAATGTTCATTTAGTTCTGGATGGTTTAACAATTTTAAAGTGAGTGGTTGGCTGCAAGAAAGAGCAGAGATGCATTACAGACTACTTTTAAATTCCAGTACAACCATAAACTATAGAAAACGCTTGATGTAATGCACTAATAGGAGGACCGTCTGAGTGTCTGGTAAATCAGAATGTATAAAAATAGGAGAAAAAGCACTAAAATTACCCTACAGTATACCTAATATATGACTATACACACAATTTACAATTCTATTACAATAAATATTGAATTTAAAAAAAAAAAAAAAAAAAAAAAAAAAAGAGGAGTTAAAAGTACATAATTCATGCAGTGGATTTTGCCCATTTTGTTTTGTAAGTCCATTATATCAAGAGTCTACCGTACTGATAACTTTATATTAACTCTGCCATTCACATTAATACAAGAATCATTTTCATCCACATCAACACAAGAACTACAGCCATCAACCTCAGCCTGGTAAGGCCACAGCATCCCTCTCCATACATTTGAAGATCAACATGCACCAGCAACCAGAATTTAAGATAAAAATTAATTATTTTATGTAACATTATTTTAGCAAAGGTAACTTTTTTAATGAATAAGTCTCGAATACAAGGATCTTATCAACTATCTCCACAAGTTTCTAGATTAACAAACAACAATAACTAAAACATAATCTATGAAACACTATTATCTATGACAAATTAAAAATTTAAAAAATTTATTGACTTTTCCAATGTGTCAGGAATGTAATTCTACTTTTCCACGTGTTCTTCAGTCCACCTACAGTGGAACCCCAGTTTTCGAACTTAATCCATTCCAGAAGGTGGTTCTAAAACCTAAACAAAACATGCGAAAACTGAATAAATTTTCCCATAAGAAATAATGTAAATACAATTAATCCATTCCAGACACCCAAAAATACTCACAAAAAAATCATTTTTTAAAGAATAAATATAGTTTTACAAACACAAAACAATGATACATAAATATTAATAAATATAAACATTACATACCTTTAATGAAGACTCTTGTTGGCTTATGGAAGACAGGGAGGAGGAAAGAGGGAATTGGGGTTACTGTTTGGAAGGGGAATCCCCCTACATAAGGACTTCAGGTAACAAGTCCCTCTCTGGGGTTATTTCCCTTCTTTGTCTTTTAATGCTACTAGGACCAGCTTGAGAGTCACTGCACCCCTGGACAGATATTTTGTGCACCCCTGTTGCACAAAATATCTGTCCAGAGAGGACTGTTTCTGGCATCTCTAAGATTTGTCTGAAGTGGGACAAGGTTCTCTAATTGAACATGTTGCAGATATGGCTTGTTTCAGCTTGGTCAGGGTGATATTTCTCAGCAAAAGCTTGCACCCTACTCCACATTGCATAAATCTCCTTAATCTCTGAAGAAGACACCTCCTTCCCTCTCTCTTCCTCCTCCTCTGAAGCAAGTTCCTCAGCTGCATTCTGTTGCTGTTCGAGTTGAAGGTCTTGCAGCTTTTCAGTGGTTAGCTCTTCCCTGTGGTCCTCTACCAACTCTTCCACGTCCTTGTCACTCACATCCAACCCCATGGACTTCCCCAATGACACAATGCATTCCACAAGAAGCAGAGGGTCGACAGGGTCAGCCTCAAACCCTTCAAAATCCTTCTCTGGGACACAGTCTGGCCACAATTTTCTCCAAGCAGAGTTCAAAGTCCTGGAAGTCACTTCCTGCCAAGTCTTACCTATAAGGCTTATGCAATGGAGGATATTGAAGTGATCCCTCCAGAACTCTCTTAGGGTCAATTCAGTGCCCAAGGTCACTTCAAAGCACCTTTGAAACACTGCTTTGGTGTAGAGTTTTTTGAAGTTAGAAATGACCTGCTGGTCCATGGGCTGGATGAGAGGAGTGGTGTTAGGGGGCAAGAACTTCACTGTTATAAAACTGGAGTCCCTAGACAACCAGTCTCCCAAGTCTGGAGGATGAGCAGGAGCACTGTCCATTACCAGGAGGCACTTGAGTGGCAATTTCTTTTCCAGGAGGTATTTTTTCCATACTCAGGCCAAACACATCATGGACCTACTCTTTGAAATTTGACTCTTGACCCATGCCTTATTATTAGCTTTCCACATCACACACAATTTACTCTTGAAGACACTGTTTTTCTTGAACACACTAGGATTTTCAGTGATACACCAGTAAAGGCTTTCAAAGCGTGCAAAAACCAGGGTTCCACTGTACTTGATTTCACTTATACTGCAACACTAATTTTCAGAAGTGTAACATGTGCAAAATGTTAAGAATTAAATGTATTATCATATCTTGTCTTTGATAAAGTATTACTAGTAACATAAAACAGATAAAAAAAAATCACCATATAATAGCACCTTTTAAGTTTAATAATCTGCTCAGAATTAAATACTGTGGATCATGTGAAAAAATTTCATAAATACATTTTTTATTATACCTTACCTCATTCTCCTTAGTCACAATTGATATTTAAAAAAAAAAAAGCTTAAAAGCACATATTTATAGAATTAAGCTCAATAATACTAATTATTCACAAGTTAAAATTTTAATTCTTTGTGTATGCATTGCAACATTAATCCTGAATCAAATCCTCTACAGTATCTTATACCTACAGCATCTACTACACTGCAGACCATGACAGGAAATACAGTACTACATGTACTGCAAGCCTTGCCAAAAATTTTCTTTGAAACAAAGAATATCTTGGTCTTTAATCATAATGCCAGATTAGGTAAACAATGATGACATCAATGTCCTACTATCATTCATAATTCTTAGAGACCTGACTAAAACATGAGTTAAGATGTATACAACATACCTGGGAACACAGCCATGCTCAACTGTAGACCTGGAAAAAAAGGGAGTTGGTACTGCAATCTTCTGTACAAATGAAAAGCAATGTAAAAGCATCATAAACACTAGATGCAGTGGTGAGTACATATTTGCACAACTTACAACCAATAACTAAGACCTTAATTCCATATGGAGCAATACAGTATACATAATTTTACATACGTGCTAACAAACTTTAATTAGAATCTCAGGGACCTAATCATTAACCATAAACTAAGCCAAATCATTTGATAAATGCTACAGATTTTAATGTTACCTAAGTTAAAGAGACGATCCTTAAGTTGCAAGCTTTCCAAACACCATGTATTTGCAGTCTTGCCTTCTAATATCATCACTTACCAAACCCACCAGAATCACCAGCACATCTATTTCTTCATTAAAATAAATATCAGCCAATGTGATATCACCACAAAAAGCAGACATAATAACTGTGAGGACAGCTGATCACTATGCAATGTTTTTCATAATGACCATAACCAAAACACCAAATGAAATAAAACAAAATCTCAGATTCCACAATGAAGCACAGTACACACACTTACAATATGACTTCACACTGCACTATTTGCTGGCATCAAAATTCAAGAAGTGCAATAAAAAAAATGATAGTGCATGACAATTTTGATATACACATTGTAAAGCATTAAAGAATCAGCTAGGACAAAAAAGTTGGTATTACATGCTGTAGCATAACATTGCGTAAAAAATTTGAATAGTACACTCCGTAGTACATGACTCCTTTCCTCCCACTGCCAACTCACACAATCTTGAGTTGCATTCTGTAAATATCTTTAAGGGAAAAATTTTCATGTATGTACTGTACATATTTAATTACTGTGTGTAGGTGTGAATGACAGAGGTAGGTAGTTTGCCAGTGTGAGTGCTTGTTAGCAGAGGAATGTAGTGTCCAGCACCACCTGCCAGGCTCTCCTCACAACCCCTTCCTTGTGGAGGGTACCTGGAGTTTACCTGGAGAGGGTTTCAGGGGTCAACGCCCCTGTGGCCCGGTCTGAGACTAGGCCTCATGGTGGATCAGGGTCTGATCAACCAGGCTGTTACTGCTGGCCGCACGCAACCTGACGTACGAACCACAGCCCGGTTGGTCAGGTACTGACTTTAGGTGCCTGTCCAATGCCTTCTTGAAGACAGCCAGGGGTCTACTGGTAATCCTCCTTATGTATGCTGGGAGGCAATTGAACAGTCTTGGGCCCCAGTCACTTACTGTGTTGTCTCTCAGAGTACTCGTGGCACCCCTGCTTTTCATTGGGGGAATGTTGTATATCCTGCTGAGTCTTTCGCTTTCATATGGAGTGATTTTTGTGTGCAGGTTTGGTACCAATCCCTCCAGGACCTTCCAAGTGTATATCATCATGTATCTCTCTCGCCTGCGTTCGAGGGAATACAGATACAGGACCTTCAACCGTTCCCAGTAATTTAAGTGCCTTATCGCACTTATGTGTGCCATGAAAGTTCTTTGTAGGAGACAAGCAGTCACTTGACCCTCAATTCCCAGTACTCATAAGTCATAAGTGTTATGTTCACAAATTTCTCACAAGCAGTGTCCAGAATATCTTGCTACCAAGTTTGTCAAGGCTGGGAACCAAAGCAGTTTATAGTACTAGGGGAAGGGAACACAACTTTGTAATACCCGCAGTACAGTAGTGTGAACATTAATTGGAACAGTGATGAAATAAGACATTTATTTGGAAAATTAATATTTATTTGAAAAATACACAGAAATGATAAGACAGATAACTGACTTAATACAATATATGACTACTCTTTACTTTTGTATGCATTGGTACATGCTTTGGCATAGAATTGGCCAATGTTTAACACATTTTGGCAAGTTCATCATGATATCAGGTCCTAATAACAGCAGCGATTAGCTTCTCCATAGTTGAGCCATCCTGCTTGCGATCCTGTGTTTGGTCACTGCCCATAGATTCTCAACTGAATTGAGGTCAGGAGAGTTTCCAGCTCAATTTAGAATGCTTAGCCCCACTCTCTTCGAAGAGTGTCAGCATTTTTCTGGAAGTGTGGCATGAAGCAAGATCCTGCTGGAAAATGCCTTCTCCATCAGGAAAGTCTCTATCCACAACGAAAAGCAAATGAATTGCCAGGATTGCCTTGTATTTGTCGCTGCCCATCGTTCCCTAAATAACAAGCCATCCAGGGTCTTTAGCAGTAAAACTACCCAAAAACATAATCTTAGGTGGGTGTTTTAGCACCTGTTGAATGTGTCCATTCCAAAGAGGTTTGCCTTTGCTCAGTCTCACTACCATATAACATTTCTCCATTCATCTGCGTCCATCCCTTATGATCAAGTGCCCATTGCAGCTGTTTTATCTTCACAGCAGCAGTCAATAATCATTTCTTTACATGCTTTCTGGCAGTTCTGCCAACTTCAAGGAGCCTTCATCGAACAGTTGAAGAATCAACATTTATACTAACCAAAGCCAAATATCTCTGTAGATCTTTGCTGGTTTTCATGGGATCCTTCACACTATTTCTTATGATAACCTTGTCATCATGAGATGTTGTCTTGCATTTTCTTCCACATCTTCCATAATGCAGAGTCCACAATCACCAGTGTTGCCAGCTCTCTTCAGAATCCGACCAATGGTTGATTTTGCCAGGGTCAAATTTCTGGCGATCTGTCTGCTACTCAAATCAGCATGTTTTCTAAGAGCTACAATACTTGCACACTTCGTAAGTGTAACATCCATCATGAATTTCAGCAGTAATCATGAATTAAGGGGAGAATTTGGCAAAACCACATTCACTCACAGAGCACACTTGCAGGAATAGCCTTACAGAACAACAGATGTTGTAGCACTGATGAGTTGCAGGGTAATGCCACAGCTGAATGGTTGCCAGAAGTCAGTAGCAAACTTTTATGAAAAAGAGCCCAAACTACATTAATTAATCTGGAGACTAAGACAAAATTTACCCCTGTCCCAATTAATATGCACACTACTGTAGGTGGTCAGGCTTCAAACACCCTTTATTGTACAGCAATAAAGGAGCAGAATGGACTGCCTGTACATGACAAAGCCTGTCCTAGCATGAGCCAGTTCAGGAAAAGGACCAAAAGGTGCCTAATGAATGTAGCAACAGAAAAGGAGGAGAGTGATTTCTTGTATAGCTAACATACATGTACCTATTACTGTGATCTGATCCCCTCTTTAATGTTAATGTAAATAATTCAGTTCACCTTATTCCTAGTATATCTCTTTTTATTGTAAATGCTTTTAACATAGCTGAGTTACTTAGCTGTTTTAACTTTTAAGGTTTAAATAAGATATTACAAGGACCCCAATGGAAATGTCACTTGGCTTTTTTTGGGGGTTATCCTAGGTAATCTACACATGTGCTGCTATGTATGATAATTTATGTAACTGTATTTAGGTGCACCTCTATATCTTAATAAACTTTCTTTGATGTTAGGTTGTCTTTTTACTGCCCTAACCTGACTTGACTTTATGGCCCTTGAGTGTTAATATAATAATATTGCTGTTTTCTCACTTTATTCCTTTAAATAGCTTTCAGTCTATTGTGTGTGGGTTTTACCATGTCCATCTGTTAACTACTGTTTGTCCCTTCAGCCCATATATGCACCCCATTTGGGTTACCAGTACTGAGGGAGTTAAGGGCAATTAAGCCACAACTGTAGTTGAGATCTGGCAGATATTAGGCCATAAGACCTCTACACTGTGCCTCCACACATGTGGAGTTGGATTCCCAGATCTAGGCATGTTGCACTCCTTGAATTCATGCTCAATGATCTGTATGAAGAAGGTAGATTAACACACATCAGCAAATGCTATGTAAACAAAGATAATAAATCCCCACCAAAATGCTTGTCATGCCAGGAGAAAACAACCTGCCCAAAACTAACCAGAACAGAGATAATATCAGTGTTCATTACAGAACTACAACCCACCACTGGAATGTTTACAGAGTGGCCCTCCAAAAGCTGGGCAGAACTAGGGCCAGAGCCAGCAACTACCAGTTACCTGGATAAGCCAGGTCCTGGGTTGCAGCCATGAACCATGTCCATGCAGAGGTCATCAGGGGTCATTTTCATGGAGGAACTAGGAGAGGAGGTTGGTGCCTTGACAGACATAAATGTTAAATGATAGAAAGAGAAAGAGAGCACAGAGAAAAAAGTGCAGAAAGAAAGAACTGGGAGATTATTTGTAAACTAATATAAAGAAATCACTGCCCTGTCACTAGACCCCATACTCCACACTAACACTACACAAATAACCTCCATGTAGGAGAGGGAAAATCAGTGTAGGTTATTTGTGTGTCGGTTATTTGTGTACTATTCTATCGATGGTATTGTGACATTTCTTTTTCCACACTAACATGATATAGTGTAATTTTTTTTGTTGGGTCACCCTTTATCTACCTGGGCCACAGCCTTAGCAAAACTGCCTATTTAAACTCTGAGCACTAGAGTTGCCAGCAACATTCACATAGTAATGGGCGAGAGTGAACCAACAAGAACATCATGAATTTTACACCTTCCATTACCACTCTTGGATATGTGGGTGAACTCCAGATACAGTCTCTCTGCATCTACGGAGACATCAAATGTTCCTGCGCTCGTAGAGACAAAGATGGATATTTGATGGATTGGACTAGAATGCAAATGACCTTCAGAGACCCTAATCTCTATGGATGCTATTGTCTGGAGCCTACTCTTATTGCTATAACAAATACGGTCACATAAGGAGAGGAAATTATAGTAATGCTGGTACAGATGATCATCAAACACACTTTTCCCCTTCATCAACACACATAGCAGTCAAGCAGTAATTTTTCTCCTACCCTTAGCTATGTGCATTTGGAGTGGCCAATATCCCAGGATCAAAATGTTTCCATCACACATGTTAATATTATACCTAATGCCTTTAAATCCACATCAAACTACTCCCTGGTCTTTGGAATGAAAAATTGTCTTAAGTTGGATGGTATTAAGAATGAGAACACAAGTTCCCTCAGGGAATAAACAAAAAATAAAGAAAATAAAAAATAAAGAAAACAATAAATAAAGATGAAGTTCCAATTAAATAAGGTTTAGAACCCCTCTCCCCAACCATAAATGCCACTGTACAACCCTTTACCTTTAAAATTAAGACTGACATTGTTCTATAACAATGTGAGTCTGCCAGGAAAGTCCCAACTTGGTTCCCAAGGAAAGTTCTGGGTCCCAGTAAGGTACCCCAGCAAAGCTCTGGGCCTTAGCAAGGTGTTCCTAAGGGTTCCGGGCTCCAGTAAGTTGTCCTAAGAGAACCCCTGGGAGACAATAAGGTGTCCTGAGAGCCCTGGGTCTCATTAAGTTACCCTATGAGTGCTCTGGGCGCCAGTAAGGTGCCATTTGAAACCTCTGAGCTCTAGTCAAGTGCCCTAGAAGAATTCTGATATTCAGCAAGATGCCTCAGGAGATCCCTGGGCTCCAGGAAAGAGCCCAGAAAACCCCAGGGGCTCGCCCCCCTCTGTGTGTTCGCACAAGTGTCATCATCAGCTGTGTTTCCAAGGCCTTTCCTTCACCTACCTGCTTATTTTCTCCAAGTTTGTCTGCACCAGCGTGTCGGCCATATTTATGGTGAATAAAAGAGCTTCTAATGTGGCAAAATAAGTAGAAAATTAGCGAAAAATCGTCAAATTCCGGCGTCCATTAGTAATTAGTTGTGTAGTCGTCGCCTTCGACCCATTTGTTTACTAGATTGTCTGGCGTCCGGAGGCTGCAAGTGGCAGCAGTTTCTGCGTCGTGTTAACACATCTATGCACACAATACTAGTATACATAAATATATTATTTTATTTGATATACAGGACATTCACTGGAGGGGTAAACGCTCGAACATTAGTTTTCAGTTATATGTCTGAGTTCAAAATTTCCAAATTAAAATTTATTCCCCTCAAATTCATTCGGAGGCAATTAAGAATATGATATGTGCCAGAAATAATAATAATAAATACGTTTGCTTGCGCGAAGAACATGTACGTAAGTGAGAATATTAAATATATTTTGCTATTTCTACGATAAATTTCTTTACTGATATTTTGTTAATAACGTATTCGAGTTTAGATTTTACCCCGAACTTCAGCTATGAACTTTCTCAACCACACATCTGTTGCCTAATAAATTACCAAAAAAAGATTTGAACAGTACATGAATGTATCAAATATCTTCTAAACGCTGAATACAATCTTTCATATTTTAAGTATAAAACCATGTAGAGGGAAAAAATAAGCGTCACAGTGAAAGAATCGGACATTAGTCGATACTTGTGGGTCGTCGCGCGCACACCAGTGTCGGCGTCGTCAGTAATTTATGAGCTTCGCTTCTTCTTTTTAGGCAAAATGAGTAGGCGAGAAGGTAGTGTGACGCTGCTTCTTCCTCTGATATCAGAGATACTTTACAGATTTATATAAGACCGGACAATGTACAGGGTAAATTCTATTTTGAGTGAGTGGGTGGTGGTGCGTCAGAGAAGCTTAATAAAGCTTCACTTGTTACCTGCCTTGTGCACACTTGTTACCTGGTACACACTTACCTGGTGCACACGTGTAAGGCAGGTACAGGAGCTTACAAAAGCACGGCGATGTGTACTAGTGCACTTGTTACGTGGTGTACGTTACCTGGTGCACACTTGTTACCCGGTGTACACATTACCTGGTGCACACTTGTTACCTGGTGTACACATTACCTGGTGCACACTTGTTACCCGGTGTACACATTACCTGGTGCACACTTGTTACCTGGTGCACACTTTGTTACCCGGTGTACACATTACCTGGTGCACACTTGTTACCCGGTGTACACATTACCTGGTGCACACTTGTTACCCGGTGTACACACTACCTGGTGCACACTTGTTACCTGGTGCACACTTGTTACCTGGTGCACACTTGTTACCCAGTGTACACATTACCTGGTGCACACTTGTTACCTGGTGTACACTTGTTACCTGGTGCACACTACGTTCACTTACCGGTGACACTTTACCTGGTGCACACTTGTTACCCGGTGTACACATTACCTGGTGCACACTTGTTATGTGCACACTTGTTACCTGTGTACACATTACCTGGTGCACACTTGTTACCCAGTGTACACATTACCTGGTGCACACTTGTTACCTGGTGCACACTTGTTACCCGGTGTACACATTACCTGGTGCACACTTGTTATCCAGTGTACACATTACCTGGTGCACACTTGTTACCTGGTGTACACATTACCTGGTGCACACTTGTTACCCAGTGTACATATTACCTGGTGCACACTTGTTACCCGGTGTACACATTACCTGGTGCACACTTGTTACCTGGTGTACACATTACCTGGTGCACACTTGTTACCCAGTGTACACATTACCTGGTGCACACTTGTTACCTGGTGTACACATTACCTGGTGCACACTTGTTACCTGGTGTACACATTACCTGGTGCACACTTGTTACCCAGTGTACACATTACCTGGTGCACACTTGTTACCTGGTGTACACATTACCTGGTGTACACGTTACCTGGTGCACACTTGTTACCCGGTGTACACGTTACCTGGTGCACACTTGTTACCCGGTGTACACGTTACCTGGTGCACACTTGTTACCCGGTGTACACGTTACCTGGTGCACACTTGTTACCCGGTGTACACGTTACCTGGTGCACACTTGTTACCCGGTGTACACGTTACCTGGTGCACACTTGTTACCCGGTGTACACATTACCTGGTGCACACTTGTTACCCAGTGTGCATGTTACCTGGTGCACACTTGTTACCTGGTGCACACTTGTTACCCGGTGTACACGTTACCTGGTGTACACTTGTTACCCAGTGTACACGTTACCTGGTGCACACTTGTTACCCAGTGTACACGTTACCTGGTGCACACTTGTTACCCAGTGTACACGTTACCTGGTGCACACTTGTTACCCGGTGTACACATTACCTGGTGCACACTTGTTACCCGGTGTACATGTTACCTGGTGTACACGTTACCTGGTGCACACTTGTTACCCAGTGTACATGTTACCTGGTGCACACTTGTTACCCGGTGTACACTTACCCGGTGTACACATTGGAAATAAATGGTATAAAATACCGACACAATGGCAATATAAACACAAATGCAGTATAATGTGATCCTTTATTGACTACGTTTCGCCCACACAGTGGGCTTTTTCAAGTCACGAACAGAACTACCTGGGGTGGAAGGAACGCGAGTATTTATAGTCCGGCTGAGGTCAGGTGAAGAATGCTGCATCTGATGATGTACCGAGTTGGGTTGTAGAGTCTAAAAACTTGGGTAGCTTGGAAAGGAGACTGGACAAGTTTGTGAGCAGACCTTCTACAGTGTTCTTATGTGGGATAGCGATGAAGAAGTTTCTTGGCAAGTGGTTCAGCTATGTTATAGAAGCCACTATTCTGGTTGAAGTTGTCGGATATAGAAATAAGTGATGATTCCAGGATTCTTCGGTATTGGGTGTTGTCTTCTGTGGCGATAAGTCTTGAGTTTCTGTAGTTTATCAAGTGGTTGTGTGAATTACGGTGTTGTACGCAGGCATTCCTTGTGTCGTCAGACCTGCTTGCGTATTGGTGTTCTGAAATACGTGTTTGGAGGTCCCTTGATGTTTCGCCCACGTATAACTTGATAAACTACAGAAACTCAAGACTTATCGCCACAGAAGACAACACCCAATACCGAAGAATCCTGGAATCATCACTTATTTCTATATCCGACAACTTCAACCAGAATAGTGGCTTCTATAACATAGCTGAACCACTTGCCAAGAAACTTCTTCATCGCTATCCCACATAAGAACACTGTAGAAGGTCTGCTCACAAACTTGTCCAGTCTCCTTTCCAAGCTACCCAAGTTTTTAGACTCTACAACCCAACTCGGTACATCATCAGATGCAGCATTCTTCACCTGACCTCAGCCGGACTATAAATACTCGCGTTCCTTCCACCCCAGGTAGTTCTGTTCGTGACTTGAAAACGCCCACTGTGTGGGCGAAACGTAGTCAATAAAGGATCACATTATACTGCATTTGTGTTTATATTGCCCGGTGTACACATTACCTGGTGAACACTTGTTACCCGGTGTACACGTTACCTGGGGCACACATGTAAGGCAGGTGCTTACAATAGCATGGCACTGTGTACTGGTGCACACTTGTTACCTGGTGTACATGTTACCTGGTACACCCTTGTCACCTGGTGCACATGTGTAAGGCAGGTGCAGGTGCTTACAATATCATGGTGTGTGGAAGATTGAGACACTTATTCAGCATATGGGAATCTTTATTCAGGAAACGTTTTGCCACACAGTGGCTTCATCAGTCCAATACAAAGAGGAAGGCGTAAGGAGAGGAAGAGTATGAGGTAATCAGTCCCTCAGCCTGGAGTCGATGTGTTCAGTCCATCAATCTTGTAGAATGTACAGCATAGGGCCGTAGACATGGCTTATATACTGTAGTGAGGCGAGGTGAAGCAGGCGGAGGCGGGGTCATAGTGGTACCATCCACTAGTCGAAGTAGGTCTTCATCCAAAGGTTGAACAAGTGTTGAAGAATTCTTTGTAACAAGATCCCATGATGCTGCAGTGTCTGACAGTTGTTGGTTTTTCAAACCATTCATCACAAGTTGAAGATTGAGACACTTATGCAGCATATGGGAATCTTTATTCAGGAAACGTTTCACCACACAGTATATAAGCCACGTCTATGGCCCTATGCTGTACATTCTACAAGATTGATGGACTGAACACATCGACTCCAGGCTGAGGGACTGATTACCTCATACTCTTCCTCTCCTTACGCCTTCCTCTTTGTATTGGACTGATGAAGCCACTGTGTGGCGAAACGTTTCCTGAATAAAGATTCCCATATGCTGCATCAGTGTCTCAATCTTCAACTTGTCGGTTTTTCAAACCATTCATCACACATCATGGTGTGTACTGGTGCATGCTTGGTACCTAGTGCACACTTGTTGCCTAGTGCAGGTGTTTACAGTAGCATGGTAGTGTGTACTGGTGCACGCTTGTTACCTGCTGCACGCTTGTTATATGGTGCTTGCGTTACCTGTTGCACACGTGTAAGGCAGGTACAGGTGCTTACAATAACATGGTGGTGTGTACTGGTGCAACCTTGTTAACTGGTGCATGCTTGTTACCTAGTGCAGGTGTTTACAGTAGCATGGTAGTGTGTACTGGTGCATGCTTCTTACCTGGTGTACACTTCTTACCTGGTGCATGCTTCTTACCTGGTGCAGGTGTATAAGAACATAAAGAAGGAACACTGCAACAGGCCTACTGGCCCATGCGAGGCAGGTCCAAGTCCCCTACTGGCTTAAGCCAATGCCCTAACCTAGTTAGGTCAGGTCACATTCACTTAAGGAAGGAGCATGGCATCCGACTTAGTAGCACAAGCTAGTCAGATCCAACTCACACCCACCCACAGCCACTCATTTATTTATCTAACCTATCTTTAAAATTACACAAGGCCATAGCATCTATGACGGTACTCGAGAGTTTGTTCCACTCATCCACAACTCTATTACCAAACCAGTGCTTTTCTATATATGTACATACAAGATTTAAAAAAAATTAACATGACAGTGACTAACTAATCAAGCTCATTGTCAATTTTACTGCATTCATGGGAAAGCGCTAAACCATAGAGGTCCTGCAGCGCCTTGAGGAATGCAAGACATTCAATCCACTTCGATCCAAGAAATTGGAGCACGAGTGCAGTCATGCTCCTGACCAGCATCTAGGAACCTCCCTTGAAGGATAAATAAAGCTCAGATTAGTGATCAGTGCAACAAAGTTAGCTTAAAACAACCAATTTGGTTTCTGAACTGGATAAAAACCTAAATTTTGTTGATTAGTGTTAGTAAATTCATGGGGGAGCGTTAAACCGTAGGGGGCAATAGGGGGTGTTCCGGTTCAATCCTAAGAAGGAAGCACAAGTCCAGTTTCTTAGAGCAAGAGCCCCTCTCCCTGATGTCGATGCCTTCCATTCCCAGGACCTGGGTTCAAGTCCCCATCTAGTTTTGTTATTCATTATTATTATTATTATTATTATGTCCATTACTGATGCGTCGAATTTGTTCTAAAAATTTAAATTAGTTAACACCTTAACTACTGGGAACGCTTGGAAGCACTTCACTTGTACTCGCTGGAACGCAGGCGACAGAGATATATAATCTACACTTCAAAAATCCTAAAAGGAATGGTCCCTAATCTGCATACAGAAATCACTCCCTCCGAAAGCAAAAGGCTGGGCAGGCGGTGCAAATACCTCCAGTGAAAAGTAGGGGCACTACTGGTATACTAAGAGAAAACACTAAGTATTTGGGGCCCAAGACTGTTCAACAGCCTCCCACCAGGCATAAGGGGAATTACCAATTGACCCCTGGCTGCCTTCAAGAGGGAGCTGGACAGATACTTGAAGTCGGTTCTGCATTAGCCGGGCTGTGGTTCGTATGTTGGACTACATGCGATCAGAAACAGCCTGGTTGATCAAGCTCTGCTCCACCAGGAGGCCTGGTCGTGGACCGGGCCGTGGGGGCGTTGATCCCCGGAATACCCTCCAGGTATGAACAATAGTTTAATACTGAGACCAAACTGGAACAGCGTAGTGTGTACTGGCAGTCTTTGCTCAGGTTATCATTGCCAACCTGCACCAGGGCGCAATATTCTGTGATCAAGGTCTCGGAATAAATTATTATTATTATCAATGACTCATGATGGTCATACGCCTGGGAAATGAGAGGTAATCAAGGTTGGGTCAAAAGAAGTGGAGGATGGTTTTAATTCCTTAGATCAAGAGCCCATCACTAGCATCATGTCACGTACCTTGAAATGCAGCGACAAACTAACATTTTCAATTAATAAATATACAGATGTATTAGTATAATAATAATTATTATAATTATTGGAAAGCGCTTAACCCGCAAGGAGTCGTACAACGTTTGGGGAATGAGAGGTAGCATGGTGGTGTGTACTGGTGAATGCTTGTTACCTGGTGTACATTTGTTACCAGTGCACACATGTAAGGCAGGTACAAGTGTTTACAGTAGAATGGGGGTGTGTACTGGTCCACACGTGTAAGGCAGGTACAGTATCGTGGTGGTGTGTATAAGTATGAGGAGTCCTCAGGTTATTCAGTTCTATATCTTTGGTTAGGCCTCATTTAGATTATGCTGCACAGTTTTGGGGACCGTATTACAGAATGGATATAAATGCACTGGAAAACGTACAAAGGAGGATGACAAAGTTGATCACATGTATCAGAAATCTTCCCTATGAGGATAGACTAAGGGGCCTGAACCTGCACTTCTAGAAAGGTGTAAAATTAGGGATGGGGGGATATGATTGAGGTGTATAAATGGGAAAACAGGAATAAATATAGGGGATGTAAATAAAGTGCTAAAAGTATCTAACCAAGACAGGACTTGCAGCAATGGTTTCAAGTTGGAAAAATTTAGGTTGTGGATGAGTGAAATGAACTCCCGAGTACCGTCAATGAAGCTAAAATGTTGTGTAGTTTTAAAAATAGGTTGGACAAATACATGAGTGGGTGTGGGTAGGTGTGAGTTGGACCTGACCGGCTTGCACTAGTGGTTCTGATGCAGTTCTCCATCCTTCTTAGTGGATGTGACATGGACCTGACTGGCTTTGGCCAGTAGCTTAGGCCAGTAGGTGACTTGGACCTGCCTAGCATGGGCCAGTAGGCCTGCTGCAATGTTCTTTCTAATGTTCCTAACAAGCATTTATAAGCAACGAATGGAATATAGTAAGTTCTCTTTTTGACGCCATAACGAGGCATCAATAAGTAACTTCACTGCAGAGCTAAGCTCAGTTGACTGGCCTACAGAATTTTCTAATGCCAGTCATTTTGATGAATGGATAGACACATTTCAAAACAAAATACATGGACTGTATAACAAACATGTCCCTTAAAAAGTAAACAGATCACTAATAAAAGACCAGGTTACCCTTGGCTTACTAACAGCATTTTAAGATCCATCGATAAGAAACATCAACATGAAAAACAATATAGACGGGCCTTAATAACTAAAGAATTTATTAAACACTATACGTCAGTCCTCGCCAAACAAATAAGAAAGTCTAAGCCATTGTACTATTCTAATAAATTCACTGAATTGAGAGGAGATATAAAAAAAGACCTGGAAGACACTTTCTCAGATCCTGGGCACCCACAAACTGAACAAAGCTAGAGATACTGTCCTAACTAAACCAAATAAACCTCAGCTGCAGCCTATTGCCTCTTTAAGGGGGGCTCCTTGTTGTGGTGAAGAGGCTATTGATCTGAAGAATTGGACCTTTTGGTCTTCTTCAGATTGAACCTAATTCTCTCTTCCCTATCCCATCCTCCCCATCAGCCTCTATGCAGAGACAAATGTTCCTTCCTTAGCTGATTGTCATGATGCTCATTGTCTTCATTACTTAGTCCGCTCACGACCTTCGTATTCCTTCTGTGTGTAGGTTGGTCTCAGACGTTAGTAGAAGCCCATTACAGTGGTCCCTCGTTTTTCGTAATTAATCCGTTCCTGGAGGAGCTACTATAAACGAAATTTACGATTTGCGAATCAATTTTCCCCATAAGAAATAATGTAAATACAATTAATCCGTTCCTGACACCCAGAAGTATTAAATCAAAAAAATTTTTTACATGAAATATACATGTAGTACATAAACAATACAATGGGAAATGATGAATGAAACATTAACAGCATAACACTTACCTTTATTGGAGATTCTTCTTAGTGTATAGGAGACTGGAGGAGGAAAGAGATTGGATTGTTTACAGTTTGGAAGGGGAATCCCCTTCCAGCAACACCTCAGGTACCAATTGCTTCTCTGGGGTTGCTTCTCTTCTCTGTTTCTTAATGCTACTAGGACCACCTTGAAAGTCACTCTAGTCCTGTCTCGCAAAGTAACTGTGGAGAGAGCTCTGTTTCTGGCGTCTCTTTAACACTTCCCTAAAATGGCCCAAGACTTTGTCACTGTACATACTTCTCACCTTCTTTACCACAGGCTTGGCACTAACTTTCTTTGGAGCCATGGTAGCTTATTTAGTACTTGCAAGCACTAAAATGAGTGGAATATTATGAAATATTTCGTAGGAGCACTTGAGGGGACCTTCACTCACTGGTAAACAATGCCAGACTGGCAGGGTAGGGAGGCCGCCCCGGCTCGCACCATGCGTACGCGTTCGGACGAACTACTATTCGTGAGTCAACCTATGAAAAGCGAGTCCATGTTTATACGAAAATACCCTTATGATTGGCAAAATTTACGATTGCCGAGAACTACGAAAAGCGAGGGACCACTGTATTTGTTTGGTGCCCCTGCTTACTCGGACCGTTTTCTCTTCGTCTTCACTCTGGTCTTCTCTCCAGTTACCTCCCTTGTATGTTCATATAGCGTCTGCCTTTTTCCCTTTCCCCTTGGGAGGTTCTGACGGTTCGTGTCTGTTCTTCCCTGATGTCGTGCGCCAAAGCTCTCCTGCCTACAACCGCTTCTCTCTCTTTTTCTTTATCACTTCCAGTCACATGCACATGCCGTCACTGTTTATACAGATGGTTCTGAATCTTCTGACGGTGTTGGGTTCATGGCAGTATTCCCTGACAATGCTGTCCAAGATCATTTGTTAGACTTGGTGGTGGTTTTGTTTGTCATGGAATCTGGATCATCTGGGGAGGGGATGCTCTGATCCACCCTCTTGAGTCTTGGAGGGCGGCTTATGATGTCCTTCAGGTAACAGGTGTATCTCTGGAGGCTTCCTGTTGGTTCTGGGAGGTGTGGCCAATAGAGGTATGCATTGTGGCGGGCTGGATTGTATGCAATTCTCATAGCAATCATTTGTATTGGGTCTGTCTACCTCAACATTTGTAGCTGTCTCAGACTCCTTTAGTGCTTTCAGTCTATTAAAAAACTTGATTTGCCTCATGCCCTAGTTCTCCATATTCAACTTTGGTTGTGCCACATTTCTACCAAAAACAAAGAAATCATTTTCTGTTGGGTCCCTGGTCATGTTGATGTTCAGGGCAATGAGCAGGCAGATTCTGCCATGCAGTCATCAGTAAATGACCACCTGCTTCCACTTTTAGGGCCATAGCATTACTACTAATGCATATCATGAGCTAAAATTTTCCCAAAGTTAGTTTGATATACATGCCAACCTTCGTGTAAAATTTTATCGAAATTGAAGATGGTTAGATGGGGACGATTTTAAAAACTGGTCCATTTGATATGGAATGACCCATATGGGTCTTTATCATGAATATTTTCAGTGCAAAAGGTTGCTAGATTACAGAGGCGGATTAGATTACAGTGGGGGAGGCAGTAACTGAATAAGTGTATTGAAAATTAAATAATCTGGTCATGAGTTGAAGTGCAAAAGCTGTTTGGTCAATCTCTCTACTGTCAAAGACCTGGAGACTCACCCCAGTGCACAAGGGACTTTTGTTAATTATACCACAATAATTCATAATTAGTCAGTGTGAAGTGTGCTACTTGCTAGTTACCAGCAAATGTACTAGGAGAGAGAATAAGAAAATAGTAATACAGTATTACACTTTCAGCATGCCATTTATACTGTATGTTGGGTTCCACTTAGTGTGGTACAATGAAAATTTGCTCCTAATAATTTATCTACAGTTTGAGATAAAGTGCTGTCATGTAACTGATAATGAAACTACATTATTCACTGTTTGCCTCTGAAATAAATTACCAAAAATACTTGGAAATGCATATCACTTTGTTTAGCAACTTTAATGAATTGTAATTATTAATTTCGTATAGGCAGAAATCATGCATAAAAGGACGTAGGAAACCAAATAATTTTGTACAGGCAGAAATCATAGATGGACATTGCAAACCAAATAATTAATTTTGTACAGGCAGAAATCATAGATGAAGGACATTGCAAACCAATTGTCTTAAGACCAGAATCATGCCGTTACTTAGTTTGTTAATTTTACTGCTTTATTTGGACGTATTCCATCTCATGCCCTGTTCTTACGGGTTTCTTTATCTCACCTTCGCCAGTGTTTATCTCCAGAGACGTCACTGGAGGAGCGGTCATCTGCCACCAAGCGTCCAGCACCAGAAGGGGATGGGTGGGAGGAGGAGGAGGAGCCTAAGAAAAAAATAAGTTTTGGTCTCAGCAAACTCCAAGACAAAAGCTCTGTTGGAGCAGCTCTCAAAGCCAAGAAGCCAATAGGTGGCATCTCAATCAAGCTTGGTCAGACACAGGTATGTAGCTATTGTAATAAGTTGGGTGGGTATTCACAGTTCATTTGCATGTTGTACGTCAAGTTTTATTTTTTAATATTTCATTCAAGATTTTTTATCAGGTATGTTTCAGCCTAGTATCAACAATTGACAGGACTTTAGTATTTATAAGACTATGACAGCTTTAAGCACTTTTCCTTTCCATTTTTTCGTCCTTACTGTGTGTACACTGGTACCTCAATATTCGAACTTAATCCATTCCAGGAACTGTTCAAATAGCAAGTTATACAAATACTTAATCAATTTTTCCCATAAGAAATAATGCAAATTAGATTAATCTTCCAGACCCTAAAAAATTACCAATTAGGTTGGTAGACAGCAACCACCCAGGGAAGTACTACCGTCCTGCCAGATGACTGTGAAACAGAAACCTGTAACTGTTTTGCATGATGGTAGGATTGCTGGTTTCTTTTTCTGTCTCATAAACATGCTAGATGACAGGGATATCTTGCTACTCCTACTTAAACTTTGGTCACACTTCACAGACATGCACATGCATATATATATATACATACATCTAGGTTTTTCTCCTTTTTCTAAATAGCTCTTGTTCTTCTTTATTTCTTCTATTGTCCATGGGGAAGTGGAAAAGAATCTTTCCTCCGTAAGCCATGCGTGTCGTATGAGGCGACTAAAATGCCGGGAGCAATGGGCTAGTAACCCCTTCTCCTGTAGACATTTACTAAAAAAGAGAAGAAGAAAAACTTTATAAAACTGGGATGCTTAAATGTGTGTGGATGTAGTGCGGATGACAAGAAACAGATGATTGCTGATGTTATGAATGAAAAGAAGTTGGATGTCCTGGCCCTAAGTGAAACAAAGCTGAAGGGGGTGGGGGAGTTTCGGTGGGGGGAAATAAATGGGATTAAATCTGGAGTATCTGAGAGAGTTAGAGCAAAGGAAGGGGTAGCAGTAATGTTGAATGATCAGTTATGGAAGGAGAAAAGAGAATATGAATGTGTAAATATAAACTAAAAGAGGAGGCAGTTAGGGTAAGATATAAACAGCTATTGGAGGATAGATGGGCTAATGAGAGCATAGGCAATGGGGTCGAAGAGGTATGGGGTAGGTTTAAAAATGTAGTGTTAGTGTTCAGCAGAAGTTTGTGGTTCCAGGAAAGTGGGTGCGGGAGGGAAGAGGAGCGATTGGTGGAATGATGATGTAAAGAGAGTAGTAAGGGAGAAAAAATTAGCATATGAGAAGTTTTTACAAAGTAGAAGTGATGCAAGGAGGGAAGAGTATATAGAGAAAAAGAGAGAGGTTAAGAGAGTGGTGAAGCAATGTAAAAAGAGAGCAAATGGGAGAGTGGGTGAGATGTTATCAACAAATTTTGTTGATAATAAGAAAAAGTTTTGGAGTGAGATTAACAAGTTAAGGAAGCCTAGAGAACAAATGGATTTGTCAGTTAAAAATAGGAGAGGAGAGTTATTAAATGGAGAGTTAGAGGTATTGGGAAGATGGAGGGAATATTTTGAGGAACTGTTAAATGTTGATGAAGACAGGGAAGCTGTGATTTCGTGTATAGGACAAGGAGGAATAACATCTTGTAGGAGTGAGGAAGAGCCAGTTGTGAGTGTGGGGGAAGTTCGTGAGGCAGTAGGTAAAATGAAAGGGGGTAAGGCAGCCAAGATTGATGGGATAAAGATAGAAATGTTAAAAGCAGGTGGGGATATAGTTTTGGAGTGGTTGGTGCAATTATTTAATAAATGTATGGAAGAGGGTAAGGTACCTAGGGATTGGCAGAGAGCATGCATAGTTCCTTTGTATAAAGGCAAAGGGGACAAAAGAGAGTGCAAAAATTATAGGGGGATAAGTCTGTTGAGTATACCTGGTAAAGTGTATGGTAGAGTTGTTATTGAAAGAATTAAGAGTAAGATAGAGAATAGGATAGCAGATGAACAAGGAGGCTTTAGGAAAGGTAGGGGGTGTGTTGACCAGGTGTTTACAGTGAAACATATAAGTGAACAGTATTTAGATAAGGCTAAGGAGGTCTTTGTGGCATTTATGGATTTGGAAAAGGCGTATGACAGGGTGGATAGGGGGGCAGTGTGGCAGATGTTGCAGGTGTATGGTGTAGGAGGTAGGTTACTGAAAGCAGTGAAGAGTTTTTACGAGGATAGTGAGGCTCAAGTTAGAGTATGTAGGAAAAAGGGAAATTATTTCCCAGTAAAAGTAGGCCTTAGACAAGGATGTGTGATGTCACCGTGGTTGTTTAATATATTTACAGATGGGGTTGTAAGAGAAGTAAATGCGAGGGTCTTGGCATGAGGCGTAGAGTTAAAAGATAAAGAATCACACATAAAGTGGGAGTTGTCACAGTTGCTCTTTGCTGATGACACTGTGCTCTTGGGAGATTCTGAAGAGAAGCTGCAGAGATTGGTGGATGAATTTGGTAGGGTGTGCAAAAGAAGAAAATTAAAAGTGAATACAGGAAAGCGTAAGGTAATGAGGATAACAAAAAGATTAGGTGATGAAAGATTGGATATCAGATTGGAGGGAGAGAATATGGAGGAGGTGAATGTATTCAGATATTTGGGAGTGGACGTGTCAGCGGATGGGTTTATGAAAGATGAGGTGAATCATAGAATTGATGAGGGGAAAAGGGTGAGTGGTGCACTTAGGAGTCTGTGGAGACAAAGAACTTTGTCCTTGGAGGCAAAGAGGGGAATGTATGAGAGTATAGTTTTACCAACGCTCTTATATGGGTGTGAAGCATGGGTGATGAATGTTGCAGCGAGGAGAAGGCTGGAGGCAGTGGAGATGTCATGTCTGAGGGCAATGTGTGGTGTGAATATAATGCAGAGAATTCGTAGTTTGGAAGTTAGGAGGAGGTGCAGGATTACCAAAACTGTTGTCCAGAGGGCTGAGGAAGGGTTGTTGAGGTGGTTCAGACATGTAGAGAGAATGGAGCGAAACGGAGTGACTTCAAGAGTGTATCAGTCTGTAGTGGAAGGAAGGCGGGGTAGGGGTAGGGGTCGGCCTAGGAAAGGTTGGAGGGAGGGGGTAAAGGAGGTTTTGTGTGCGAGGGGTTTTGGACTTCCACAGGCATGCGTGAGCGTGTTTGATAGGAGTAAATGGGGGACAAAGGGTTTTTTTTAATACTTGACGTGCTGTTGGAGTGTGAGCAAAGAACATTTATGAAGGGGTTCAGGGAAACCGGCAGGCTGGATTTGAGTCCTGGAGATGGGAAGTACAGTGCCTGCACTCTGAAGGAGGGGTGTTAATGTTGCAGTTTAAAAACTGTAGTGTAAAGCATCCTTCTCGCAAGACAGTGATGGAGTGAATGATTGTGAAGGTTTTTCTTTTTCGGGCCATCCTGCCTTGGTGGGAATCGGCCAGTGTGATGATAAATAAAAAATAATATAAAATATAATAATATTTGCATGCATGAAATCATACATGAAAACTAGAAAAACAATAAATAAACAAATAAATACATGAAATAAATGAAAATTTAACTGCACATCACCTTTACGGAGGAGTGCTGATGGCCTAAGACAGTGATTCTCAATCAGGGGTAAATTTACCCCTGGGGGGGGGGGTTAAAAAATTACATGGCAGAGGTAAATATTTGATGTACTTGATAATTGAATAATAATTCAGTTAAATTTCATTTTGTAAAATGTGTGTGTGTGTTCATGTTTGAGAGTGAGTGCTAAGAATGTGTGTGTGTGTGTGTGCGTGTACGAGACTCGCCTATTTGTACTCGCCTATTTGTGGTTGCAGGGGTCGAGTCATAGCTCCTGGCCCCACCTCTTCACTGATTGCTATTAGGTCCTCTCTCTCTCCCTGCTCCATGAGCTTTATCAAACCTCGTCTTAAAATTATGTATAGTTCCCGCCTCCCCTACGTCACTTTCTAGGCTATTCCACTGCCTGACTACTCTGGCTGAAGAAATACTTCCTAACATCTCTTTCATTCATCTGAGTCTTCAACTTTCAATTGTGACCTCTTGTTTCTGTGTCCCATCTCTGGAACATCCCGTCTTTGTCCACCTTGTCTATTCCTCGCAGTATTTTATATGTCGTTATCATGTCTCCCTGACCCTCCTGTCCTCCCAGTGTTTTTTTCAGGCCCGATTTCCCTAACCTTTTTCGTAGACAATCCCCTTAGCTCTGGGACTAGTCTTGTTGCAAACCTTTGCACTTTCTCTAATTTCTTGACGTGCTTGACCAGGTGTGGATTCCAAACTGGTGCTGCATACTCCAGTATGGGCCTGACGTAAATGGTGTACAGAGTCTTGAACGATTCCTTACTGAAGTTTTGGGAAAACTTACCCTTGGGTTTGCCGCGCCCGCACGCAGCAGTTTCTGATTGATGGTCCTGGGAGGGGCTCGGTTTCTCCCCCCCAATTTTTCCTTGAGTGAGGTTTGCAGTCTTTGGCCACCTAGATTTAAACTTGTCTTCGTTCTTTTTCCCCCTCCCCAATTTCATGACTTTGCATTTGGCGGGGTTTAAACTAAAGGGAGCAGTTCTGGACCAGCTTGTACCCTGCCCGGGTTCTCTTGTGGTCCTGCCTTTCCCTAAACCCGATTTGATTCTCTTTTAACTTCCATCATCTGCAAACAAGTCACCCCTCTTTTGTTCACATTCCCAAAAACAGCACGGTCCTGGTGACCCCTGTGTGACTTGCTTGTCACGGCGCCCACTCTGATCCCTCATCGCGTCCATGACTCGTTGTTCCCCCCCTGTAGGTTTTTTTGATCCATTGCATTCCTTTCCTTTTATGTGTGCCGACCCTCTAGCTTTTGCGTAACCTCTTGCGAGGAACTGTGTCGAAGCCTTCTTGCGTCCAAGAAAAGCAAATCCACCCCTCTCTCTTGCTTACTTTTGTCACCTTGTATAAAACTCCATAGGTTTGTAGCACGGATTTCCTTCCCAAAAACCGTGCTGGTTGTCGTTTTTACACTTTTTTCTTTCCAGGGGCTCCACCACTCGCCCCTGTGATTTTTTTCCCCCAT